CGAGCGCTGGGGGACACCGGAGCGTGTGCTCCCCACCGAGCCGGGGGGCTCACCCAGCTCTGCCCTGCTCACGGGCAGGCTGCTGTCCTGAGTGATCGCTGCGGGCTAGGAGGGTTAATTATGATCTTTGGGGTGATACTCAATAAGTGAATTGCCTGAACAATGTTTTCTATTGTTTCTGTTTAGCTCATACCATTTTCTCTTAACGTATGCTGCACAGATGGCCTTTATTATAGTCGCGGGAATCTGCTTGTGTCTGTATTTTCTCTTCCTGTGTTTTATGGTCTTCCAAGTGTTCAGAAACATCGGTGGAAAGCAGTCAAGCCTCCCAGCCATGAGCAAGGCTCGCCGCCTTCATTATGAGGTAACGTCCCTCCTTGTGGCACAGATTCTTTATTTTTTAAAATGCGTTTTTGATCTTAAAGTCTGTACTGAGACTTTCTCTATCCATATAGTCCTGGATTGGAAGATCTGATCTGTATTGGTTTTCTTGCGTTGCTCAAATCCTCTAAATGCCTTTTTGTTCCGCTGTTGTGAAGTTTCTTCTTTACGCGGGTCCTTAGTCCCAGTGAAGTGTTTTAAACTGTCAGGAGGGTACATGAGCTGGCTCTCCTCTTCCATGAGTAGTTGCCATCTCCCAACTTACTGACCAGTGTTGGAGGACAGAAGAAAATTGGCCAAACTACCGTTTAAATTACTGTGGAGTGTAAGCCCCGTTTCTCCTTCTGTAATGTTAATGATTGTGTTTAATGGAAAGTATTACTAAGACCACTCTGTTTTTCCATGGCGTGAATTCAGATTTTGGGGGCTATCTTTTCCTAACCAAGTTGCAGGAGGGAAAGCGTGCCACTAGGATCAAAATGCGACGTGTTCAGCTCATTACCCCTGTTTTTAACCCATGATTTTGTATGTTGTTTCTGTCCTCGCTGCCTTTATCTGCTGCAAAACACGGGGGGCTCGCTACAAGTCCGTAAGCTGAGAATGCCTGTTGTTTCCATGGGTGTGTAAATATTTATCACCAACGTTGTTCTGTTAAGTGATGGTCACTTCTGATTTAAGCAGGCCAGTTATCACCCATCGGGGATGCACACAAAAAAATAGAAAGTGGGACTTGCGAGAATTTGAACAAGATACTGAGCATTTTCTCCTTTTTTCCATCTTTCCCTTTAGCAAGCGGCACAGGACTTCAGCTCGTATTGTAGAGCTGCTGCAGCCGTCCTCTACATACAAACATCTGGCAAGCGTGAATCTGGTCCGGAAGAGTTAAATTAATAGTCATTTGTTGTCACAGTGTGACATAGCAATTACGCACATACTGACATTTCCACCAAAATTCCAGAAACAAGTTAAAAAAAAAACCAACACACACAAAAACAAACCCAAAAGAATTTGTAAGTAAAAATGTAAAACTAGTGAAGGCAAGTACGGCATGCAGACAATTCCCAACCAAGTGATCTTGAGCCATAGTTCGTCTTAGAGTCTATAATTCTTCTGTAATAGCCAGCGTAGTTTTGACAAACGTCGAGAATCGCTGCAGTTTCCTCCCAGACAGACTCTGGAGGTGAGGATTAGTCTGTGTGCCAGTACCAGTGCCCGCGAGTAGAAACACTGACTCGTCTCGCTAAGCCGTGCAAGCTCTCCACAGATGTTTGTTTAAGAAAAGCTATGAGCTATCAGGCTGGCTGGTGGATGAAACCCATGGCTTACACTGACCTGCCTCCTCTCTCGCGTTAACTCTTGGTAAATCAGTCGCAAAAGCGAATGTAATGGAAAGCAAGAGCTGTCCAGACATGCACACCCCGCTCGAGCATCCGGGAGGAATGCAGACGTGTGGGGAGCGGAGAATATGGGCTGTCCTGAAGACGACAGAGGAGTGGGTGGAGGTTGTTTTGCTTTGGGGTTTCGTGGGTTGGACCCTTTTTTTTTTTTGCTTTGCTTTTTTTCTTTTTTAACCTTGTGTCTTGTATATGCTAAAAACAAAAATGGGTTTTGTGGATTCTGTTAATGTGACCAGTGACATTTCTCTCTAAACAGGGGCTGATTTTTAGGTTCAAGTTCCTGATGCTTATTACCCTGGCTTGCGCAGCGATGACTGTCATCTTCTTCATCGTGAGCCAGGTGAGTGACGAAACTCGGCTCCGTCCGAGAGCGTCAGCCTCCGATTCCAGCTGCTAAGGACGTCGCCTCACTTGCTGTTCAGACAAGGCGTGCCTGTTAGGAGCAGATGTGATGATAAGTTGCTTTTTAAGAAGTCGTTTTCATTTGTTTGAAGCACGGCATTAAATTGCTCAGGCTGGAGCCTTTGGCTCACGGTAAGGTTTGGGGCTGTGCTGTTTGAAATATCAGCCAACGCAATTTAGTCATTTCTGAGAACTCAGCAAGAGGAAAAACGTTCAGTTCACACTGAAGGAATCCGGTGGCTTTGTATGCCCACAGAGAAATAACAGAATTCAATCTTCCCTGGGCTGACTTTGCAACCCTGCTGCTTCCACCGGGATCCACACCTATTTGTTCTGAGCTACGATGCATCTCTCTGCACAAATGAGCTTACGTCGCTGCTTAAATGTACTTTGGTGGTTTACTCCAAGTGACTTTTAAGATTGCATCTGTTTCAAAGATGTCATTTCTGGTTGTTGCTAAGCATAGGCAGCTTGTAGCTTCAGGAGAGCCGTGGGTGCAGCCTGGCAAGTCCAGGATCACAGAACTACGGGTGCAGGAGCCGTTTCTCCCTCACTGCACCACTCACGCTTTGGGGTACGGCGTGGGTCCAGTGGAAATTACAGCAGCAGATGGTTCTGCTCTTAAAAATCCGTTAGACTGAAGCAATGGTTTGAGAAATGCCACTTGGCAATTTCAGTCATCGTTGGGTGCTGGTGACCGGAACCGTCACCGTGTGCGGACATAGCGCAGACAATCTTCTCCGAGTTAGTTTAGCTTTCATCTTTCCCCCTTATGTCTTTTTCTTTAATGGAAAGCCAACATTTCAGTGTGAAGAGTGTGCCTATCTTCAAGTGATATTAATATTGACGATTCAAGTAATATCAGTGTTGATATTTTCATAAATCGTGACGAACCTCTGCGTGTCTAAGGCTGGTGCTGTCAGCCTCGGCCCCTCTCGTAAGGCAGAAGCAGCAAGCAGGCATTCAGCACGTTAGCTCTTCGCATTATTCATGCTGGTTTTCCTTCTATAAAAGGTCTATTTATAGAAGTCTAATGCTTTCAGATGTAACTAGTTGTCTCCTAGGTACTGCCCTTTACGTGGCAATCCTTGCTGAACACCACAGTTACGGCAGGGATGTAGCGCAGAGCGTGAGAGATTTTGTCACATTTAAGAATGGTAAATCAAAGTTAAAGAAATCCTGGTGCAATCATTTTGTAAGGACCATTTTTTTTCCTGCAGATTGAGGCTAAAGAGGAGAATCCCAGCCTGCCTTCTGCGTCACTGAAGCTGTTGTATTCCATTCCTGTTGAATTGATGCTGTTCTTACTGATTTAACTCCAAATTACTGCTTTGGGGCATCACTTCTGTATTTTTACAGAATTTGGTCTTACTGACCGGCCCGTGTGTGTCTGCTTTCTCCCGGGCAGGTGACCGAAGGCCACTGGAAGTGGGGGGACATAACGATACAAGTGAACAGCGCCTTCTTCACCGGCATCTACGGGATGTGGAACCTCTACGTCTTCGCTCTGATGTTCCTGTACGCGCCATCGCACAAGAATTACGGTGAAGACCAGTCGAATGGTAAATGCCTCTAAATGATCTGAAGGCTGTCACGGGAAGAAAGCGGGTGATACCTTTTGTGCATGGGTTTTTTTCTGCCAAAGTGCACGTTCAGCACATTGAAATGTTATGCAAATGATGGTTTGGTTTTCCTAGCAGACGTTTTAATTAATGACAAAGTTTAGACCCTTCTAGATGGTTTTTGTACTTTTTAGCATTGCCCGGTTGTAATTGTGTAGCTCAAATGGAGGGACGGGGAAAGGAGAAAATAGAAATCTGGGAAGTGGAGAATGGCAATGCTCTTGGATTCCTTTATCAGTAGTCTTCCGTAGCGCAGAAACCCTCCTTTGCTGATACACTTGTATTTAAATAACTGCAAATAAAAGCATTTGTAGAAATGCTGTGTAGTCCGTAGCACAGGTAGCTCCTGAAAGCCTGGAGGGAATAAAACAGATCTTTTGCTTTCTAATTGTCAAATATTTTATTGCGAGACCAAGCTAACAGAACAACGTCCTTTCTCAGGTGACCTGGGAGTAAACAGCGGGGAAGAGCTCCAGCTCACCACCACCATCACCCACGTGGATGGCCCGACGGAGGTGTATAAGCTGGCTCGCAAGGAGGCTCAGGAGTAACGCTGGGACGGGCTCAGCTGGGACCCAGACCGGGGTGGGGAGCAGAGGACAGCACAAACCCTCCGGGACGAGACCTCTCTGACCTAACTTGCTTCTCGAGCACCCCGTACCTAGTGTATTTTCACAGAGCAGTGGCACCGAGCAGAACATTTGTAAACTCTTTAATATGGTGTAGTTATTTCTGGGGGGGAGGGATAATGTATATTGTGTTACACTCAAGCACGTAAAAACCTGCTAGAAAAGCATTAAGGTTGCAAAGTCGCGCGTTTGGAGGTGGGGAAGGGGCAGAGCTGACATCGGGCAGTTTTTATTTGCCTGCCGTGTGCCCGTGCATAAAGGTGGTGCAGGGAGCTCAGTCGGCGAGCATCTATGCAGTACTTCAAGTTTTCTCCTCGTGTGCAACTTCAAACGAGGTGTTGGTTGGGGGGGACGCTAAAGCCTCATTTTAAAAACATTTAATTCCACCATCAGAATTGTATTGAACCTTGTCTGAGGCCTTTAGTACAGACCTGCAGCAGCTCCGCAGCAAACCTCTGTCACTTGAATGCAACACAGCTGGGGAAGGGAGTAGACTGTTTGTAATATGTCAGATTTTAGTAGAAGCAGCGCCGTGCTTTCTCAGTAGGTTTTCCAGCTGTTTGTTAAATATAGGGGAATGTAAAAACTGGATTCCTGAGCTGAGTTGCAGGAGAAAGGAGAGCTCCTGTCCCCAGTTCCCAGAGGTACCGGTCCTGCAGCCAGCTCCTGCCTATTCTCAGCCCCTTTGGCTTCCCTTGCCTTTGTTGCCATCCTCCATCTTACTTTTCCGTTACGGCTCTTTCATTTTTGTGCTGCTTACGTGCCATGGGGAGAAGAGAAGGGCCACGGGAGGGCCGGTGCATCCTCGGTTCCCATGCCTGCGAGCTGGGCGAGGGATGCTGGCAATCCCGCTCCTCCTTGTGCTGCTGGGACGGAGCACGCTTGGCAGAGCTGGATTCTTCCAGGGATTATCGGGCTTGAAAAAATCCACTTGTCACGCACTAATGTGGATATTTGCTTTTCAGAGTTAAGGCAGATGCTGAGGTCGCTCACCCCCGTGCTGAGCCGGGCGGCTCTGGCTGTGAGACTCTTGGCGCTGCAAGGGGAGCGGGGACTGATTTGGGGTGGAGGCTTAAACTGGGCCGTGCTGGGGACCAGTTAAGAGAAGTGTGCAGGAGGAAGCGTGGCCGGGAGGGTCTGTGCTGCCCAGGGCACACCTTCCAGGGCCTGGAGGATCCAGCAGCCTTCGTTTGCCAGCAGTAGTAAATGTCTGTGTAACTGCCAGTAACACGGAACTCAACCTCCCAGTTTAGTCCCTAAAAGATAAGAATCTGCTGCTGCTGTCTGTCGCTGAAGGGTCAGAGATTAAGGAGGGGGGAAGCTTCCAGCGCCGCTGATGGCCAGTCATCGCGGGTACTGCTAGAAACGCTGTCCTGCAAAAGGCGGCGCGTTGTCCTTGGATTCTTAAAACTTCTGGAATTACACATCAATTGTTAGAGTATTAAGGCTGCAAAATGAAAGTATAATTGGGAAATATCAGAAGTGAGATCATCCACAAAACCTTAATCCATCTCCAGCCAACACGTGCATCGCGACATGCGGTTGCAGGCCATTGCCTGCTGGCTTTACGGTCGTGTTCTGGTTGGGGTGAGAGTTCGGGGCTCTGGGCAGGAGGCTGTGACACCTGGGCTCTGGTTTGCACCAGGAGGTGCTGGTTCATCACGGTTCCCAGCCCAGCAAACACCTCGGACTTGGCGATGCCCGTCCGCGGCTGTATTTGCACGAGGCCGCAGCTCAGTTCAGCTCTAACCGTCCCCATCACCGTTTCAAGCCTGTTAGTAACCAACCACAGCACCGACGTTCCTTGGCTTTTGCTTTCCCCTTCCCCATGGTTCTTGAGACAAGTCAATACTTCAGCTGGGGTGGGGTGTTCAAATAATTCCTCCTTATTTTCCCAATCCAGCAGGGACTGAGGCCAGAAGGCAAGTGCACCAGCCTTTCCCCCGCAGGGATTTCACGGGGACCCGCCGCCCGTGCCGAATGAATCGCACCAGGAGGTGCTGGGCTGTTCGATCCCCGTAAGAACGGCACTCTGTAAACGAGCATTTAAAATACCATTTATTTGAGCTCGCTGTGAAGAAAGAGAGGATAGCGTAGATAATCTTGCATCCTTTTGGTTGCTGGGAACCCCAGGTTGTGCACCATCGAACGGGTCTCTGATCAGGGTGCAGCACGCCGGGCAGACCCCGTCTGCAGAAGGGCTGCTCCGTTTTTAATTAGAGCTGCTATAGGATTTTCTTAGCGATTCTGCTCATTGTGGTGTTCGCCCCCACCAGCTCCCCCTGCCCCTGGCAGCCTCCCAGCCGGGATGCAGCGGCCGAGCCGAGGAACGCTGAGTGCATCGCTCCAGGTGAAGTCTGAGCGCGTGAAGTTGCTGGAGCACGGAAAGTGCTGAACATTACTTAAGGGGGTAGCTGTGGGTGATTTGGGATACTTGAACTGGAACGCTAATAATTTTTTATAAGTTTGGGGGTGGTTTTTTTGTAAAATGGGATGACAGTGCCCCTGCACTGAAAGAAAATGTGGTTTAAAAGAAAAGAAAAGAGGAAAAGAAGGAGGGGGCACACTTACTGTATGTGGAGTAAGTGCTGGGACCGCACCTTCAACACGGATGGCAAAATGTAACTTGTCAGCAATTTACATAAGGAAAACAAGTGCTAGTAGGTCCGAGCAATGCTCCTGCTTGCAGTGGCTGTTGAATTATTAAGTGAATTAAATTAACGCACATCATCGTAATTCCGGCATGTTCCTCACTGACTGCTCGACTTTGCAACTTTAACGTTCTTTTTACATTGGGTTCTTACGTGATATTTATGTTGTTCCCATAGGTGTGTCCATGGTTTCTTTTACGGCTTAGTATAGCATTGCATTTGTAAAGGCTCCTTACAAACGGGGAATCGCAGCTTTAAAACCAAATTTTGTGTCAAACACTAACAATTTGTTTACGGGGCGCGTGTATGTGTGCGTGCGTGCGAGTGTGGTTTTTTTATTTCTTAATTCCTAAGCCCTACTCATATGTCTCAGAAATAGTCCCTGGATCTTATTAAAATATATCCTTTTTTTGTTTAGGTTGAATTCAGTTTTTACAGAATGCTTTAAGCAACCTGGAAAACGTGTAGTTTTGTTAATTTAAATAAAATATACAATATTGTGGATTTGTGGCCAGCCTGCTTCACTGACTGAGAAATCATAGCTTTTTTGCTGTGATCTTGTTTGCTTTTATTTGGTCTTTTACTTCAGGCGGTTGCAAGTTGCACAGCTTCTTGCTGGGGAAAACAGTTGACTCACTTGGACAATTTTTTCCCGCATCTCTCCAAACGCTTTGCGGTGCAGAAACACGGTGCTTCCACTAACGCTCATGGCTTTTTGGCTTTTGCTTTAGGACTAATCGACAGCAGGGCCGTTTCTACCTTGTGTCTGGAGCGTTGGTCACAGCTGCCCTCGCCTGCGGGAGCAGGACGGGGTGTTGAGCCCCCCGTTCCCACCCGTCCCGGGCGGCTGAAGTCTGCTCCCACAGCCGGGCACAGCCATCGGGTTTTCCTTCGGGCTCTGGCCCCCGGACCTGCCTGGCCCCTCTTGCCAGCTCCAGAGTTGTCAGAGCTTTGCTGTGAACTTCCATGTTGGCTGTTACCCCATCGCGACGTCAAGATTTGGGCATCCTCCTCCATCTGCTGCCGTATTGGAAGGTGCTGCCTCCGGCTGCTCCGAGCCTGCTCTCCCCCACATTCTTCCTGTCTATAATCCAGGGGAAAAAAGGGTTTCCCAGGACTTGCACTGAAGGAGTAATGGAAAATTCGATGATGACAGATTAATGTTAATAGCAACAGCCTGAAGTTCTCATTGCGATAGGGGCTGCCTTGATATTTTTATATTTTATATTTTGATATTATTACAGGCGAGGGGAACTGGGCTGCCGA